TATAAGGGCACTCGGGGCCCGTGCCTAGGGCCCCCATCCTAAGGGAGCCCCTAAACACCGACAACTTCTTCGACGAAATACATACCCGCTACACGTTGCGCGGCCCTGCAACGTGTCGCGGGTTCGAATCCCGCACGGAGCAAATCTTTGTGTGATCCACAAATTGTTGTTTCAAATGTGGGTGTCATATGTATATGAACTTGTTTGTTTGTAAATGCACCCACGATATAGATGAAAATGCTAGTGTGGAGCAACGTTAAAAAAAAAGAAACATTTCAAAAGGACCCCGAATATTGTCCTGCATGATTGATACCTATCATGGTGTAACCTATTTACTTACGTACCTACTTAAGGGGCAAAATACGCAGCATTAGACACCACAATGTGCGCAGTGGTAGCTACTGTCTAACGGGTCACCAGTTTAATCTCAAGACGAAACCACTCTTTATGGCTTGGGTCAGGGTGTGATGTGCAACTGTGCACGCGTAACTGGAATATTCGCCAACGTACGCACAACATAAAAGGAAATAGTCGAGTGTGCTTCCATTAAAAATCCTAGATATTGGTCGTAGTTAAGTAGTAGGTATACTATTACTATTATTATGCTTGCTACTTGAGCTATTATTTAAATAGCTTGTTTGAGAAAAACAAAAGAATTTTAATGTACCTATCCACAGTTTATTGCTATATTTTACAAATTACCTTCAGATTAATACGTGCACTGTGTGACGGACATGATTGGCAAGAAAGAAGTGACTGTGTTGCCACTTAATTGTACCTAATGTGATAATGTTGTCAACAAGAAAAATAATTTATTATGTTTAGTTTATGGTCTAAACATAGTTATCCAATAAATAACTCGAATCAAACTTTGTATTTTACTTTAAAACTACTCTTAAACATTATGTAGGTCAGTATATGCTTGTGAGGTAATAGTTTATTCGCGGAAATTGCACAATATCTTAGGAACATAAGCACGCTTCATAGAACATCGTGACCGACTCCTGTCTGTGACGCACTGTCCTGTGCGCACTGATCTGTTATTGCGATATAAATTGTAAATTCTTTGAAGATTGTGGACAAACACGAGCATTTATATAAAATATTCGACTCCATGCGTTTCCTGGAGAACGTACGGTAAACAATGGTTGATGTTAGCCGGAGGGTCCTCACACGAAATGAAATAAACTATAAATCTGCAAATACGCTCGAGGGGCGGCGCAAACAGTCCGAGCACGATTTATAAATATGCAGATCAAATATTAAAAGGAGAGCCACAAGATCATCCCGGAACCGCATAGAAGTGGACTCGCAGACAGGACACGACGCATTGTTTATAGAAATAACGGAATTCTTTTGTAACTTGCCAGACAGCTAATAATTGTTTTGGTTATACAAGACTACATTGTGTTGATCATTTTGTTGCGTATCTGTTAACATTAATCGTTGCATAATTAGAAAAGAGTGGCAACCAAGCAAGGTTTATTGACTGTCTGGTACCTAGTGGTAAGTGGTACCTATTGTTCAACACAACCAAACATCAAGCAAATCTCTGATTGGTAGTTAAAAAAAAGTTTTAGACAAAAACCTATCAGCAAGCAGTGAGCTCTGAGTAGGCACAAACAGCTAAATCAAGAAATGTCTTCTCTGTCCGCCCGCCTCGTACTTGTGGAAAGCCCGCAGCGGTGCACTGGCATCGTCTCAGAATAAATATTCAATGTTTTCATTCAATTTCTCGCGACCCCCCCCCCCCCCCTCGGGGGGGTGGCTCCCTGTCCGCGCTGGACCTCAGCTCCCGAAGCTGTTGGAACAGAGATAACGTGATATTCCATGAATCGACTACCACACTCGCGTTACTTGTGTTGCGACCTTTATTTATTTTTTTGATTTGTTTCTGCTTTTTGAGGCAACGATTCGTAATTTAATCATTTATCTACAAATTAATTATAGGTCCCTACTGTCCAGTAGCTGATATGAACATGAACAGAATACTTTCAGGTCTCATGTTTTTAATATCCTTAAATACCTAAGAAAACTGATAACCCGATCACAAAGTTTCAATAACCATCTTAGTAACTTAGTTTTGGTTATACTGGCAGATTATCTAAGACGACCAAAGTATGTGTATGTCAGCTATTAAAATTTAGTCTTTATTTCTTATTCTTAGTTTGGTTCATGATAGGTGGTGCACATATATACCTACTTGGTAGGTATTTATGTGCACACAGTTTTATTGTTACGCTAGCTTTATTGAATTCCATGAAACTCTTTGACCTTTTTTTGGACAGAACCACCTCGCTTAAGTTAAGGATTTGGAACCAAATCGAAACAAAAAAAGAAGTACAGTGCGTCCCATGCAAAGATGTAGGTACCATAAAGAAGAATTTTTAATATTTTAATTTTTTATATTTCTGTTCAAGACTGTCTTGGAACATTGTTAAAACGAATATCTGTTTGCTAGAAGCTCCAATACATGCATAGTGGAACTACGCAGCTAGATAGCCTTGTGATCAAACCTCCACGATAAGTTCTGAATTTGAGACAAATTATGTAATGAGCAAACAATTCTTAGCTCAACGCAATCATTTCCAAATATTGACTTTCATACCTATAGATACCTATACAATGTACTGTTATTAGATATTACGGCAGAAGTAATCGACTTGTGATTGCTTCAGAGATGATTAGGTACCTACTTAGTTTATGTAAGCCACATTTTATCGATCATCGGAACTAAAAAATAACAGCAAGATGAATCTTGTGAACAAGTAATCATTACTTTATGACTGAACTACATAGCATAGATAGCTTATTTTTAATTATTTTAAAAGCTTTCAGTCAACCAATTTAAAATTTTGTATAAAAAACGACAAAATCGATTGAAATGTACGACTTCCTCGTGTGATCTGTTCGAAAAAAGCTCGATTACTTTCAAGCACTGCCGGGACTCACATTCGTGAACGGTGCGCTGCAAATAACGTCACTCAGCCAACTGTCTACTAGTCCAGCTTCAGCTTTGTTTCGAGCGGTTTCAGAGTATAAGCGGTTTATCAGCACTTACTATTTCTACAAGTTGACTGACTCATTATTAATTTATGATCGACTGTATAAGTAATTACACAAAGAAATGTATGTACGGTAGTCCCATGAATGAATCCATGATACGTCGTATAGTAGTCACCTAGTTGTGATTAGCTTATGACTCAGCTCTGCGACTCTCTGGGCTCTAGGTGTGTAAAATTTTTGATAACTGGTTCGCAGAATAAAAGTTGTTAGTCCTCGTATGTTTTCGCTCGCTTCTAGAGCTCTTAATATCGGTCAGGATGAAAATGTCCAAAGTTAGCTCACATCTTATCGCTCTAATATTGTTGCACTTAACTAAAATCTCAAGTGCATCAAACTATCGTAGTAGAGTATTCGTTCAACACCATAGAAGGTATGAATCTACACTGTTTTTGAATGGACTGTAAATGAAACAAAGAAGGCAGTTTAAACATAATATATTATTAAAAAAGAAAACAATACAATATAAGAACGATATTGTAGACTGATTTATACAGATCAAATTACATGAAGCGACGGCGACGGGCGCGGAGCGGGCCGCGGCCGACACTCGCGCCGAGTGGCCGACACTAGTGGCCGGCCGCGGCACGTACTGACTTCTACACGGAACTACTACAGTTTACATCCAAAGATACACATTACCTTGGCTACCACATATTCCACAAGCTCACGCATACAGTCAAACATCTGTAACCTAATAAAATCAGACTTACAATTTAATGTACCTAAATAGTTAAAATTCAGGAACTTTACGTAGCATACGTTCATAAGAGAGTGCTGGCAACATAACTTTGTAATTTACAACAAACATTAAGGTTCAGTATCCCGCCACAGCTCGCCACCGGTCCCAGAGCAACGCGAGGTGTATAGTTAGCACGTGAGCTCGCTCCGTCGCCCCGTCACTGCCACGTTGTCATCATTATTGCATTTAGAAATAGATATGATCGTGGACAACCTGCTATGAATACTCCGGTTCCGACAGTGTCCTGACTGACGAGTACGATGCAGTCAGGCACATAACCTAAATGCAATAGCAACAAATGAAATTTGTAAATCTTAGTATCTCTACATTCTCATCACGTTACATATCTATCATAAAGTAAAGCGGAGGCACTGTTGCGGTACAGTCGAGTCTTTCAAAAACACTAATTGTGTGTCAGTCGATTGCTGACTACAAATTAATTACTACTATAATTATCTGTACAGCGCCGCATCGAACTGATATTCGATGAGCTATAAACAAAAATCGATATAAAAACATTAGTTGACAATAATCGACTTTTGCAGAGACGCAAACTTATCGAGATCTCTAGAGTAGTTAACTGAGATGGCGCTAGAGAGCTCCACTGTTTGACGTACGACAAAATATTCATTAAAATAAAATATTAAAAAAGTAACTTACGACAACAGTGCCTCGCCGCGGCCGATACAATTATCTTGTTTAATTTCTAATACGATATAATCTATAATATACGCTACAGACAATATACAGCGCATTTCCGACACATCATTACGGCTACATTCGAATTTAAACTCATTTGTCACAACGTCCATTATCGTTGAGGTCATAGCGGAGCACACAGTTACATATTATAATTATTACACGTTTATATATCTCACTTCATTCATATAAAAATGTTCCGAGGGAGGTGCCTCGGCCGGCGTATCATATCACCCAGAGTAAAGCTTAAGCAACCGTCTGCTAAGCGCGAACGAGTCTATATTACACGAACATTCGACGTCCGAGCGTCTCACACGCGCCTCGTGATGTACTCAAACAGGTCCGAATGGATCGTCACCAGGCAGGCGGCGCGCAGTCAGGCGGCGCGCCAGTGCTGGTACCAGGCGGCGCGGCGGCGGCGCGCGGGCGCGGCGCGGGCGGGCGCGGGGCGCGGCGCGGGGCGGGGCGCGGCGCGCGGCGCGGGGCGCGGCGCGGGTCAGCGGCGCAGCAGCGCGGCCAGGTCGGCGAAGGCGCAGGCGCCCAGCCCGCCGCGCGCCATGCGCCGCAGCAGCTCGCGCGACGCGGACACGCACGCCTCCACCGGCGAGATCCAGCGCATGCCCTGCGACTCTGGACACACGCGGTGCGTCACTTACTGGTCTTCCTCCGTTACACATTTTTAATGTACTACTCGAATCGATTAATTAATTCAATTCCCGATTCGAACGGCGAATTAACATTTTCGACTTTGAAAATTTGCCAGCTGCCACAGTAGCCAAATGAACATGATGAAAATATGCATATTTCTTTTTAACCCCAAGATTTCCCATTCCTCTTTCGTGGAACAAAAAATGTCAAATTAAGACAACGACAATAAACCCAAGAAGACGTTAGACATAACTCACCGAGTATGGCCGCGTTGAGTGCCTCGCAGACTGCCTCCCTGCGTACAGGCTGCAGCTGCCAGCCGACGGGGCTGTCCCACGGGTTGCTGTACGCCAGCAGACTGAACGCGTCCTGGAACATACAACAACGGTCGGGTACAAGTCCATTCAATGCCAAAGCAATTAACACGTTTAAAAGCAAAATATTTAAATGATACATCATTCCCACAAATGAGGCTGAGTAATACACACGGCTACACATCGAGCTTTACATAACCAGTATAAACTGAACGTTAAACATGGACACTGTGCCGTGCGAAGCTCGCCATCTGTGAGGTCTATATTAGGACGCGACCCGTGTCCGAATACAAAAAGAAACTCCTCTCTCCGCTTCCCCAGCGAACACAATGAGGCCCGGGGCGCCACGTGTCGGGGACAAACTGCAACCATCAGACACGACGGCGCACACTGGCTTGCCGCCATATAAAGAAGCGCTCAAGATTCGATGGCCGCGGGGGGCGGGGACTGCTGTGTGGGTGGGTGGGGACGATGCCGATTACTTACCATCAAGCGGTCCATCCGCTCGTTGGCCGGCTTATGACATGAAAAAAAACAAAAAGATGTAAGTTATTGACTCAAATCTGTACAACTTTATGAAAATATTTTATATAAATATGTGTCATGGTTGAAAAAAATCAGTGAAATGTAATTGAAATGTAATTCTCGCTCGTTCTTCTATATAGGAATGTATACTTTGGAGCGAGCTAATAGCTTCCCTAGAGGAGTGACTGACAGACTGACACTCTGTGTTTGACATCCTAAAGTACCTTATAACGGCCTGGTTGGCATAAAAGAGACTGAGTTGAGTATGGTAGGAGTGAGTTACCTCGAGCACGGCCTTGGCGCCGGGGTCCTGCTGCAGGCGCTGGCTCATGGCGTACAGGTCGCGGCCGAAGGCCAGCATGCGCTCCACGGAGGCGCGCGCGCCGCACTCCGCCTCTGTACACGCGCGCGGTCAGGACGCGCCCGCACCGCCCGGGCCCGCGGGCGGGGCCGGGCGGATACGTTACGAATGCGATAGTTATTCGTGCTTGGCCCTCTGTCTGTTCATTATTTACACTCGGACAATTCTCTGTATGATAGTAAAGCAATGTGTGTGCGCATGGCCCCCGCCGGCGCTTGTAACATTAGTGTATTAAACTAAGACTAGAAAATAACATGATTACAGTTATATTGTCGCTGAACAAATCATCAAGGAACGAGAGAAACTCATAACTCAGTGCCGAGGAGAAAATAAAACCGTGTCGTGACACAAACTGTCATACCGGGCGCTCGTCGCACCGCGCATGCGTTTAGTGTAGTCCCGTGTCTAGATATGATATTGTATAATATAGTAAATATATAATATGTTGAGTATACATAACAAGCGTTACTCCACGACATGCAGACACCCCAGTCACATGCAACATACACTACGGCCTGCACCGACGCGACAACTTAATTTACAAACTTGTTTGCTCAGTTACATCCGTCGCGAGTACCACGCAGCGCCGAATAAACAGCCAACTGCTAGTTCGGGTCTTAATCAACCGAACCTCTTTAAATGTATCGTATAGCAAAACGCCGCAACTTGTTTTGTAAATTAAGCTGAAAATACTGGAACGCCAGGTGTTGGTTGCTTACCTCCCGCCGCGACAGTGGACACTGGACTCTACTCTACTACTGGACTACTGGACTAGGGCGCGGCACCCACTGCAGCACGTACTGCGCACTCAGTAATTACCTCGGCCGCCCCCCACCGCGGGGACTCCCGGCCAGTGCACTTACAGCCGGGGGGTTAGTACAAGCACTATACACAACACAAAGCTAACTGGACGCGATGGGGACAAGCGGACAGTGGACCCGTGGACCAGTGGACCAGTGGACCAGTGGAACAGTGGACCAGTGGACCAATAGCCCAGTGGACCTCGCTCCACAACAAGGGACACTCCAAGCGATGACACCGACCACTGCTCTGGTTCCGTTACGCATAACTTCCATTCTGTTATCTACTCATCCATATCGTAAACTTTTCCTTTGCAAGTTGTAGATATTTACATACGACTAATAGACTTTTTGACAATGCGAAAAATAAAACGTCAATTACTGTTAAATGTTTAAATTAAGAGTTAAAAATTATTATTTATTAACATAAGTTGAAAATAATGATTAACATACTTAAAAATCCGCAAATAAAAATAGCATTTTTTAAACGTTTGTCACGTGACACAAAACGATTGGTCGAGCTTATCATGACGCCACCTGCTTGTAAATACAAAACAAATATATATGCCAGCTGTCACAGATAAGAATACAGGCAACAGGCAAGTGACGTCACCGACCTCATTGCAGCGCCATATTTTTAAAGTAGCATTTTGGCACACTATTTAAATATTGAATTTTAGTTCGATGTTTTTCAGCTAATATATACCCGAATTAAAAAAAAACAACTGAGTTCCTTGGACTCTACTACATAATATAAAATAGAATTTAAAAACCTGTCAAATAGCCTATTCTTACATCAATTGAAGATGTCGAACTGCACACATGTACAATATGAAGCGTCTAGTTGGTAGCGTCGGGGCGGCGCCGACCCAGCGGAGGGAGGTGGGAACCAGAGCATGAGAGAGATGAGCACATAGAGTAGCGGAGTGAGGTGTGAGATACCCACCCGAGTGCTGGGGCAACAGCGCGGCGATGTTGGCCGTCACTCCCGGCATGCCCTTGACCAGCGGCAGCGCCCGCGCACCTACAACCACGCCGCGTCACTCCGCGTCACTCCGCGCCACTCCGCGGCACTCCGCGGCACCGCGCGGCACTCCGCGGGGCCGCGAGCTCTAGCAGTGCGTGAGGCGCAAGTTACCCTGTACGATGTACCTGTACGTGTGGCTCGAGTTTCCTCGCCCGCGATTCTAGTTGTAACTTGCACCTCATTGGTTACCGGACATGCGTAAGCGACGACTCACGCGAACTAAATCCAACTTAACGGAAAGAAATAAAACCAAAAATATGCATTAAGTGCCGGTGAGTGATGTCGACTCTAGATGCGATGTTACATAAGCTGTTAGTCAATGGCCGTCGACTCGACTACACATGCCAACTTACTGTCTACCGCACTAACTGCACAGGTTAATGGACACAACAGTTACGAGTCACTGTGTAAACTCTATCGTTGGTCGGTAGGAACACAAGCAAATCCTGACATAATCATTGGGTACATGTAAGCGAGCGCTCCACACAGTCCCCTCGGGCGCAGACTGGCAGTAGCACCACCGCGTCAGTCCCGGAGCAGTGCCGCCAGTACCGCGCCAGTACAGTGTGCCTGGCGACGGCCCCAGTGTATGCTCGCGGGACACCGCACTACGAGCGAGTCCCTGCACTCTGTATGTACCAGCACGGTGCTGTACCAGAGTGTAGCGCGCCGCCATACTTGTGGGGGTGGGACCAAAGTGCAGCAACTAAGCCGGATTATACGCATTAGGTAATAGGGTGTAGTTACCAGGGTGAACATAAAAAATCGAGTTAGTCCGTCAGTTAGATAATGAAAAATAATTAGACACGTATATTTTTATTTTATCGAAAGTTACAATACTGACATAAAATGGAATTAAGTTTAGGAATGGGAGGTCGTGACGTGACACAATATTTCAAATTAATATATCGTTGAAAGTATTTAATTTTGGGAGAACAAAAAAAATACGTGTCTTATGTTTTAAATTAATCTACCAGACGGACATTGAAATGCAATTTAGGAAACTACCCCATTATACGCGAGCAGTGAGCACTAGGGGAGGTAGCCTACTACTGCGTACTGTCAACTGACCCGCCGTACAAAGCCATGCAACTAAAGTAAACAGCAACGTAATGATACCTGGCGCTACTAACATAATATAATGAATGAGTATGCTGTGCAAATAATATATAAACCAAATAAAAACATATACTTGTTTAAATATTAAGTACATAATATTCCTTACATATTTTATACCATACATTATTTATTATACTGAAATATATCTCTGTATAGTCTGGGAAATAATGTTATACTTCATGGGGGCACTTTAGCTTTTTAACAATATTTATATATCATAAATAAAAGTAATACAGCGAAATATAAAATACACATAGGTGGCGTGTCAAGCATTACTTTATTGGGGATCGAACCCAAGAATAAACATCTCGGGGGATATTTTATCATAATATATGTAGGAAGATTTTTTTATTTGAATAACTGGTAATTTGGATAGTAATCTCGGTGGTAGCGCACGAAACATAATAATGTCCGGGCCGCGTGGCGCGGCGTGTGTACCGGTCTGTCCGTTGGTGGCGGGCGCCATGTCGACGTCGCCCGCGCCCCCGTCGGCCGCCGCGCCCCCGCCTGCGCCCCCGCCCTCGCCCCCGCCGCCCTCGCCGTCTGTAAGATTTACATTATATCAAACAAGATTGTTGTTCGATTTTTCACAGCAACAATAGATAGAACAATGTTGTCAAGTAACTATTTACTTAATTTCAATTCAAATTACTTTAATTAATTTACCATTTATTAATTATACAAAGATTTCAATAATCAGGTTTGTCATTAAATTAAATCAAAATATAGGGTCATGCACTGTCAATATTATTATATTACATTACAATTAGACCTTACATAATATAAACCACCCATTTTTCACTATTTATGTTATGAGGCCTATGTAATAGGTGATGAGCCTATTGCTATATACCGGACAGACTTGACTCCATGTTACTACTGAGAATTTTTTAAAAATCTCAATAATCCTTTGCTCGACCCGGGAATCGAACCCGAGACCCTTGCCTGGCAGCACACTTGCGAGCACTCGGCCAACGAGGCTGTTACACCTTCATACATCCAGATGAGCATGGAGTTTGATGAGCTGGAGTGTATCGGCGTGAGCCGGTGGTTCCGTTACCGTGCGCGTGTCCGTTGGTGCGCGAGGAGTGCGACGTGTGCGAGATGACGGACGTGGCCACGCCGTTACTGCGCGCGCCCTGCAACACGACACGGTACACGACTCTAAAACACACTTCACACCTCCTTTTTTGAAGTCGGTTACAACAGTTAACAAACAAAAATGATTTTTAAATTTCATTAATATTTTAACCGAGTTTTATTGCCTTTTGTTCTCGTCCACATTTAGGAGATGATAAATCTTCTTATCAATTAACTCATAATAATCGAGTAAATAATGTTTAGGGAACAGAGAGTATAGTTGCCTAAGATGGGAAAAGGAGGATCCTCCGACCAGGCGAGGTGATCGTGCCTGGCGGGCTTTCTGCCCAACAGTTGTTCGTTGGGATTTTCTATCCGTGTTTATTTGCTTGTAAACTTTGCATGTGCGATGTAGGATTCTTGTGACGTCATCCGTTGACATGTGGCATGCGTCGCCACAAATGAAAAAAAGAATGACTTGGAACGGTATGCGCTGGTGCAAAATGCAGATTTAAGATATCGTAAATGTAATGCAAGACCACACGGTAGACGTTGGTTTGATTGTTGGTTGGATTGGTTGTATTCAACCAATCACGAAATAATCACGCACAAACATAAATCCATACATATAGGTCAAACAGAGAACCTCTCTTTTTTTACATCAGTTAATCAAATACGTATCCGAGATACTTTGGTATACATAAATCTCGCGACCAGCTTTTACATCATTTAAATTGGATAGTGTTCATTGCAACTAACCAGTTACGGTTGGTAACGAAACGTGACGACATCTGCTTCAACTTAGTTACAAGATCCCACTTCACAAATATACATACATTATGTGCATTGTAAGATAAAATATAATCCGATAAATATAAATGTGAGTACCTCTCCATCAGTTCCGTTGACCATCTCAATGAACTGGCGGTACTTGAGCAGGAAGAGCAGGTCGTGGTCCCGGTCCAGCAGGCCCGGGTACAGGGCGCGCGTCACCTCGATGGCCTCGCCGATACGACCCGCCACCACCAACTTGGATATCCCTGCACAACACATGCCCACATATTTATACAAAGGGTAATGAAGAATTACATGCTTTCGTCTCGTCCATAAAAAAAAATAAAAAATAATTAGACATAATTTTTTTATGAACACAATTTCATTGTTCATATTTCTAAGCACTTCAAGTCAAGGTTTCCCTCTTTGAAATTTAGTGAAAGTATTAGGCAAACTTTTCAAAGTGCTGCCTACTTTTTTTTTGAGGGGGAAAATCATCCAATGACTTCTCCCGCCTGAGTGAGGCGGGAGGGAGTGACTCTTACTGACTAAAAACCACCCCGTTCCTACTCCTGTACTTCGAGCCGGAGCCCCGGCAACCTGTTAAGTCTTCCGCGGCTCCATATCGGCATCAGCCCTGTTGGGCTCCATCTGTAATGGTCTGATGGCTCCTTGAGGCGCGCGCGGAACGCTCGGCGCCGTACGCTCGGGCCTGGTTCTGGTCGGGCGGCGAGTCACCCTTGCCGTCCGCAAGTCCGGCCTTTCGGTGGCCGGAGATCGTTTCGTGATCCCCGACGCCCGGAGTGTCTCTCGCGACGGCCGGAGCGTGAGGAGGTTCGTTCCTTCACGCGCTCTGCCTCCTCCTTAGCTAGCATGACTGCTTCGCAGAAAGAAGGCGGAGACGGCATCCCAGTCCCCCTCGCTCCGTACCATGGTCTGAACCAGAGCCGGACGCGAGAGGTCGCCGTCGCCGATCAAATCCCTGACGACACGGCGGTGCTCAGTCCACGCAGGACACACCGCCACGGTATGCTCCACCGTGTCCTCCGAGCGATTCTCGCAGTGATGACACCCGGGCGTCTCCTCCCGCCTAATCCGAAACAGGAACCTACCGAAACTTCCGTGTCCGGTAAGCACCTGCGTCAGGCGGTAGGTGAGGACGCCGTAGCGTCTCTCAAGCCACTCCTCAAAGAGGGGACTTACCGCTGCAATGACAGCGAGCCCATAGTGCAGCCTATTACACTGTTAAATATACAAGTCACTTGTTTCACTATTGCACGCAGAATAACCACAACACTGTATTCTCTGTATAAACGGGCATCACTCGTTGGCGACTTGTATGAAGTGTCCAAACGAAGCGGTTGTACAAGTGCAGTGTGACTCACTCTGTCTGTTCTTGATGGAGGCGACGTCCTCGTCGATGGGCTGGCCGGTGGCGCGGGAGAATGCCTGCGCCGTGCTGCAGTAGCCGTGGTGTACCAGGTACGATGATACCATCCTGCAACACACATTGTTGACAATGACTCTCGATTTCAGTACTTAGATTGAATGCCCAACGAGATTGTATTTTCAGTTTTTCGAAATTTTCAGCACTTTTGATTCTGGGCCTTAGGCCATAGGCCTTTTCAGGTTAGCTGATGTAAGCAATCGGCCCTTCTTGGTGGTTAGGGATTTAAGGAGTGAGGATCGGGGTGGAGAGGGAGCGGACCTCCGACATCTACATATATAGTGTCGCTGTCGTAGAGTATGCGCTAGATCACGCGGGTGGCGCGTACTTGTGCAGTAGTTGCTGCCACTGGCCCTGGTCGTCGGGCAGCGGGAACTCGTCGATGGCGCAGCGCGTGCGCGCGCGCAGCTCGCGCAGCATGTCCTCGATGTCGAACACGAAGGGCTGCTGGCCGAAGTTGGCGTCCACCACCTCGCCCGGCGTCTGCAGGCCCACCGTCGGGTACAGGTTGGGCTGCAACACGACACACCACACAATAACGACTTGGGTTTCAATTGTTTATTGTTATCCATTTATTATTGTCGATATCTTATCTTAAGTACTCAAGGACATTATGATTTTTAGTCTATTACACAGTAGATTCTATTATTTACTTGGCTATTAAGTAGGCGTATCATGTCTACTCTTGGGTAATGTACAACGAAGCCTTTAGCTAAATTTTTATGTTGTACAGTTGTACGTAGCAAGCTGAGCGTCTCTACTGCTACACCGTCGACAATACTCAACACTTAATGCTATATTTCCATTTCAGAAAATGAAAGAGGGATCGCAGTACCACTCTTTTAACCACTTTCCACATTACGAATTAAAAAAAAACAAAATCCGATAAAGCGGCGTCGTGTGTTCTCCTTGCTGTGCTGCATCTGCACCGAGGCAAGAGTTACAGTATTGATGTAACATTGTGTTGTACGTACGGGTAGTCCTCTGAAAGCGATGCCGAGATGATGTCCGTTCTTTGTGTAGAAACATGTGTTGTCGACGAGGTTGACGCCGCAGCCGATGACATCACCAGTGGTGAAGGTCGGCCCGTACGGTTGCCCGGTTCCTGACGAGCAGAACGAGTGTCCGTCGTCGCCGTGATACCCGTACGAGTGTTTGTCCCAACCTGTAATGTCATACCACATACTCAAGCACTCCAGCGATTCAAAATACTATATCCAATCCTGTAGGTGCACGAAGGGTAAGCCACTGCCACACATTTATTTTAATTAGAATAAAAAGTCGTCGGCGTCGATCGATCTTTCAGTAATTTACTCCATTTGTAGTGATCGTAGATTGATGAGTAAGTAAATGGGAAACGTCTCGTTAACGTTTACTTACCAGGCAATCTGTTCATGTTGACTCCATGTGCGGACAGGCCGATGCCCATGTACCCGTCGCGGCCCTTGGACACGATGCGCACCTCGAAGTAATAGAGGCCGCACGCCGCGGGGATGGGATGCGTCGCGCGCACGCTGGCCGCGTCCTTGTGTGTCTTGCCATGACCTACACACGACATCAACATGTTCTGGCCACTCTTACAACTACCACCCACCGACCTCCCCGTCTCACTAACTTCTAAACTACTCTAGTTTTCATTATCAACAACATCCTACAAGATCCTACATGCAATCCACAAACTACTTAAACAATAAGTTGATTCTAAAATGAACATAACTAAGTCATTTAATCTTCTCCTAAATAGCAGGCAAGGAAGTTTCCATTTATTATTTTATTGAAATGTACATTTTGTATGCAAGTAGGTACTTTAAACTTATCAAAAACAGAGCAGTCAAGACTTGAGCATCGATTCAAGTTAGTAAGACGGTAATGAAGGCATGCGTTGACAGTACGTTCTAGACTACACGATCAGTAGTAGGGTATGTACTCGGAACGAGACACAAATTTATAAAGTAACGCGTAAGTGTAAGGATGACAACGTCATAGCAACAGGTGCGTGTAGTGTAGTGCATGGTGTTTCTTTAGTTACGTCTATTTGTGATAGAGTGAATGTGTCTTCGTGAAACCAGTCCGGAAGTGTCATGTAACAATATTCTAAACTCTTACATTAATATTGTCATAAATACAATAAGAGAGAAGTCAATGCCATAGCTGTAGGACATTCGTCATATTGACTTCCAACTTAATGTTTTCAAAATAAAACAAATGTCCACAGAATATGATAATGATAACAGGTGTATTTCAAAACAACGAACATCGAAAACGATTCATTAACTAAATACGAATGTGGACGAATTTTAAAACAAGGCCAATGGGGAATGCCAACGACCTCAAACAAAAGTAAACATGGTTTAAACTCAGTACCATAAATAATGGGACGCACAAACTGTTGGTGCCGTGCTCACAGCAACAACAATGCAGGGCAAACCATTCTCACACAGCGCACGAAAATAGAATTTAAACCTGTTGTAGCTATGGTTCATAATTGAATAACTCAAGTACACGTTGTGAAAAACAATTAGTCTATCACAAGGTCACTTTAAACGATAACTACTACACAAAGTTGGCGCAAATACGCCAACGTTTGGAAACAAACACGTGGAGCCAATGGACGCTATGTCAGTGCCGTCTCGCATCACGCCTTGCTTACATGATATTGGACGTCAACGGGAATTATTTTAGTAGCGGCCACTAGACCTGCACGACCAGCACTTTGCCAGTACGTCATTACTATAAGTTTATTTGATAGTGACAGTAGTTTAACAGTCTGATATTTGTGACGATTCAGACGGTTTAAGACGGCTAGATCAAACCCAAATAGCGAACGCTGCAATCACCATCTCAAGCTCCCAATAGAGTATAAACACTTTATTACTATTTTGAAAATCACTTTTATAGCTATCACTTGGTTTGGCCAATCGGGCCGCAGATTATAACCAGGCGTACGCACACAGAAAAGTTGCGCGTACGCACGAGAACAACAAACACAGGTTGATGAACCGCTACGCCACGTGTTTACACAACAACGCGTAGATAAAACCAGTGGATGTGATGAGTAGCCAGTGTGGGACGTGTGGGACGATACACAGCCGTCTGTCTATCTGCCTGCCGGACGGATCTCCTACGCGGACGCAGTGAAGAGAAACAACTCGCGAACTACACATTCACTGTATGACAACGACTAAGATAAACAAAGTGTACTGGTACCGACACCAATAATGTACAAAAGGATATCTAGTTAAATGTAGCGTTACTTGACGTTAGTAACGGTTCCTCTTAGAGTTATGAAAAAACCGTACAACGATAAAAATGTTGATTACCTACTTAGAAATTATAAAGCAAAGTAAACGAGTCGGCGCATAATAGAACATTCGAGGAATCGATAGAGCATTACCTTCAAAGTTGCAATAAAATCAAACGACATAATGACTGGCTCTTTATTAACAAGGAGCAACACAAAGAACTTCTGACACGAACACAAACAACGAGCGATTAATAAATTTTGACATAATTCTATTACAAGCTACGAGTGTCTAATTCACAAGCAAGATAATTTACATTATTTAAGACGTAGAATACTCTATTTAATAGAACGCAGTAGTTAATACGAGTTTTATTTATACCATACACAACGGACGCGCATGTTCTGAGAAAATGTTTAACATTGAATAAAGAAACATTCGCAGCCAACAGCTCGAGTCAGTATTGGAAGACAAGTTCTATCTGGTCCACACACCCAGCAAGTCTCGCAATCTTGACCTCCGATAACTTGTGGACAATTGTATTACAACCATATTTTACTTACTATCGGCAATGGTAACGTACTTACGTACATATATCATTATCTATTGATTTACTTAGTAATAAGTACATTATTTTCGCTTAAATATGAATATAAGAAGATAGAATATCAGGAGATCCAAGGGTTCTCATCTCGATACATTAGTCAGCTGTGTTGGCCACCAGCTTGGTTCGTTGGCGGTGGCCCAACTGTTCTCATCTAACAAATGTCAAGGCGCACGCGAGGTCGACACTCTCGCGTTTCCTACAAACAACGAATCCGAACCCGACAAGCTTATTACAATGCTATTTATTTTAAATAATCATGACCTATTACGTCCAATACCCGCAAACAATGTTGTCTTAGAATTTAATTATCGATGCGTTGTCGCGGCTTTGCGGTGCTCCAATATATGGAAAACGATGTAGCTGGCGATATTTCTAGCTACGTGCAGTGCAGTATTAATGCGCCGTCCTCAGACATCGCACAGTTTGCTCATCAATAACATAGAGGTAATGATACTTTAGCTTCTGTACAGCTTTACTACAAGCAAGTGTTGCGGAGGACAGCCCAGCTCCTTTAACCGTAACACTGGCGCTTAATTCAATTTTAAACCTTTATGTAGCATTAGTGACACCGGTTGTACTTTGACAATCACCGATGTCCCTTATACGCAATAAGAATGAACGCCATGCGACTGTGTCATATTTCCGTCACGTACCACGTAAATTGTCTCATTCTATTTACTAATATAGGCCACACCTAATTGTAATTCCGACGAATCGAGCAAGGGAACACGCCTCGCTCTTGGCAAGAACAATGAAGAGACTAGGGAAAAATAGCTGCGGCCCACGGCGCGTGCTGCTTGTGTATGGACAAAATTAGCCACAATCGTTAGCGGACCGTTGCCCCCGGCTGCAGGTGGCTGCCGCTGCAACACGCACTGACTCACGCCTGCTCAGATACAACTCTTTACAGATTGCGCGGAAAAATCTATCAGATAAGAGAGCATATAAGACGATTCTGAATTCTGAGTGACAAGTGATTCTCCACAAATACGCATAAATTACAAAATTCATTAAGTGCAAATTGGTATAGCAGGTAATTGTGGTTGTATCGCACAAATTCTATGTATTATTTGTAAAGGGAACATCTACGATTGAACCACTAGTTAAATTCCATTTGGCCAAATATTCGCGGCTAATGATGATAGAACATATCAGAATGTTACACATAGCGTCTCTCTTTCTCTCTCTCTCTCAATCTCACTCTCTCTGCGTTGTTAACATGTCACAGCATTAACCAAACCTGTTATAAAATACGTATTAATCAACATGCAAATATCTAGCAGGAAGTAGCAGTAGTGAATAATGCTGACATAATAAACTATGTAATGAACAATAACAAGCAATACTACACATATCGTGAATCCATTATCCCCGCGACATGCGCATTACATCCATGCATTGGACATTTCGATAGATCCCAACAGTAAACTATGATTCGAATGTTAAGAACCTACAACGGTTTGAGTAAATCATCGCAAGTTAGAAAAACAAAATGATACAGGTAGAAGTACAACATAAAGGTGCGAACATGACTTAACTGATCGCGTAACATCAGAGTGGCGGTAAGTGCAGAAGGGTACAGAAATAATATAGTCGACGTGTGCTCCGCTCCATAAAGGCGCGACGCAGAAAGGCGTAAAAACAAGCCGGCAGGCTAATCCGGGTCGTTTCCCGAAGCCAAAGCACATGTCGACGCGCTACGAGAAAAGCAGATATTAGGAGTCGACACGAAGTCCGGGAATGTTACAGAGCACACAGTTATATAGCGACACACCGGTGCTAACAAACAGTCGGACGCACACACGGCACGTCACGTCATATATTGCATTCACATTGCAGGCGCAGGGTCCGCTGGGACTGTTTATTAACACATGGTGGGCACAGATATAGATATGAGAGATATTGACGTACGATACATCCAGAGGCGTAAGTGGAGGTAGGGCAGGTGGGGTCGGCGGCCCGGGCCCTGCGTCCCACCTTACAACAAATAGAGAAAACATCCATGTCCATTAAAACGATCCACAGTCGGACCCCATACACACCACTTACGCTTCTGGCTGCTCGGTGAGACGACCAGCGCGTTGCCGCTAAGCAAGCAAAGCCAATAACCGCTCCGATGATCCCGCTTATACATTGCGAAACACGCCTGTAAAGCTTCCCCGAAAGGAGAGCCGCGGCAGCAATGGAAGCATGAGCTCGCGTGATCACATCATGCAATGTCCTGACTACCGAGACACGAGCGTTTAGAGCATAGTGGTGCTATGGAGCCGAATTATTTCTATGCTACTTACTGCTTACTGCTACAGTTAATACCAACATTATTCTTAAGTCTTACAAGTGACGTACTTGCATATTACGAAAATATTAATTCTAATTTATACAACTATACATTTATTTCATAATAGACATAATATAAACCTGTTTGTTTGCGATAAGTAGTGAAGGTCTCCCCCTCCCTGCAAAAATTCTGTAACCTGGACTTTTATAAGGTGACTGATTACCTACTATTTACTTATTTTTACCTAAGAGACTATTATTTAGTGACAACAAAGATGAGCAACTGCGGATCTTCACACTTAAGAGGTTCCTGTCAGGTTCCTGACTGCACGCACCGACTATGCAGAATTTTGTATGAAGGCGAAGCCAGATCGTACTGTTGAATGTAAGTCTTCTAGGTAAGAAAAGACTATTAAAGA